TGCAGCAGCCTTCCTCGTGCTTCCTTGAGGCAGACCAACAAGTGCCCCCAAGTCTGTTCTTCTAGTCAGGTTTCAGACACTTCACGCTGACTCCATGCTGCTGCTCTCTGATTGACCAACAGATATTTCATCTTCCGCTCCTCACAAAACTCAGATTTCAACGCCTTTGTCTCTGCAATCTTCTGCTATTTATTATTATCACCACGTTGCTCCCCATTCTACGCCGCAGGAGCCCGATTCGACGCCACGGAGCCCCCCTTCTGAAAGTTCTCCGCGTCCACACACTCTTATTCACAACTCATCGCGCACAAACAATACAATAATCACGGAATGCAGTATCGGCTTTTCTTAGAGGCCACCCCGCCATCGGCTCCGCGACTGACTGCCGATCTTCTTCTTCTTAGGTTGTCCCTGTGCGTTCCCCGTGGGGCTTGCGTGATGAGTGTTTGTGCTCTTCGGGCTGCCGCGTGTGGTGTGTGGTGTGTCGCCCAGCAAGAAAAAGTCACCCATGATGAGGCACAACAAAATGTCGAATATCTCGAGAACCAGAATTTTCCCGGCAAACCCAAAAAGATCGAGGTAGATACTGAGGAGAGGAATCTTTCGCCGTGGTTTACTTTGAAATCGGTCGGTTAGTTATCGGCCAAACAACAATTCAAGTTCACCCTCTAGGATAGTTTTTTAGCGATATCTCCGCCAATTAGCAGAATTTTTGAAATTGCGAGACGATCTGTCCAAATTCGTTGCGTTTTTGGAATCGGCAAAGGAGACACCCCTGCAAAGAAGAATCCCTTTTTTCCGGTTTTACGCCGCGTTAAAACACCGCCGTCACGCGATGCAGGGTGTTTTCCGGTACTTTCAGATTTCGGGACAACCACCTGTGTGCGGGAGACAAGTTGTCATTTGTGCATGGGAAACATTGAATGTTTTTCTCTGCACGGTCTACGCAATCTTTTTTTAGTTGTTATTCAGTTTTTCAAGGGCTCCCTCGGTTACGATTTTGTTGGCAGTAGTTTTCGGCGGTATTTTTTCAGTCGTAGCGCGTACTACGGCGATAATACTTTGGCGGTACGCGGTGATTGCGTTTTTCGGCGTTAACGAGTTTGGCGGAGGTGGTCAAACACAAATATAGAGACAATTTTGTCGGCGGTGTCGTACATGGCGGAGGTATTTTGGCGGTTGGCAGTAATTTAATGTGTTTTTCGGCGGTAACGATTTTGGATGTGGCAGTGTAGGACAACAAAAAACTCTACGGTGCACGCCTCCGAAACATTTTTTTCGAGGAAAGATGTATCAACGTTAGCAACAAACAAATATCTAGAATATGCAGAGCTGACGGGTGCATCGTCGACAAACGCAACGCAGAAACACCGCCCGAACCCAACTCTACCAACGTGTGGGAAGGGGGTTACCAACATGGAGGAAGCTGTCGCGAGTGTCAGTGCCTCTTGGAGGAAAGGATATCACAACAACCTCTGGCACAAATAACACGGCCGCCACTACCACCACTTGCATCACCATCAGAAATAACAACAATAACAACAACAACAACAACAACCAGCAACGACACAATCTAGGGCGCATGGGCGGCATGTGTTCGAGTCTAGGGGTTTCTGGCAAACTATCGGCGTCCCCAACAATGCGCACGCTTGTTGTTTTGCAATATGCACGAGCGACAATAACAAAATACACTCCCCCTCGGGGGTTAACTCGCGGAAGGGGAGG